TGTGTTGGTGTGAACAGGGTGTTTTTAACCCTTATGTTGTGTTCGGGTCTCCCGTGACCTGTTTCGAGGTTCAAATTATATAATAACTACGCTCTAGTTTTTTTTTATAGGAACAAGGCTTCATGATATCCTCCACAACGGCAATATAAACTCTACAAAACTGATTTTGATAATGTTTGCCAAGTCTGAAGGTCTCTAAAAAAAAGAAGTGTATAATTTGGTGTTCGGGTCTGGGGAGACCTAGCAGAATTGTTTTGGGTGACTCGAGGTCAAATTTGGCCCAATCAAGATACATCTTTGACTTTAGACACCCCTCCCCCACCCCCTTCATCCACTGCAATAATAATTTTTCGCAACATGCACCTGGTCTTCCCTCCCTCTGCCCCCCCTCCCCCCACGGGAACTCAATCTTTCTCCAAGAATATGTACACTAACACTTGAACCTGAACACACATATGCACGTGTGCAATATGTGGTGTAATGTGTTTTGGGGCCATAACACTAAATTACAACAGGATTGTACGGTTATGAATGCATTATTAGTTAGATATGATGTAGTTAAAGCAATATTGGATGATAGTCGTTTTTTTGTGTGTTTTGGACTGAGATAAATCATGGGTCACACTTACACCATGAACGGTAACAGCTTTGAACACAACACAAGGGTTAAGACACTTGTAGGCCTATACAGAATCTCATGTCAACTTCTCACTGTTACTTATGTACAGTACAGAAGCTAATGATAGCTTGTAACTGAAAATTATATAAACTTTATTTTTTTTATCGGAACAAGGCTTCATGATATCCTCCACAATAGCTATATAAACACTACAAAACAGCTTTTGACCATTTTAGCCAAGTCTGATGGTTTCTAAAAAAAAAAGTGTATCATTTGGTGTTCGGGTCTGGGGAGATTGTTTTGAGTGACTCAAGGTCAAATTTGGCCCAACAAGATTCATCTTTGACATTAGACACCCCACCCCCACCCCCTTCATACACTGTAACAATAATCTTTCGCAACATGCACCTGGTCTCCCCTCCCTCTGCCCCCCCCCCCCCACGGGAACTCGACCTTTCTCAAAGAATATGTACACTAACACTTGAACCTGAACACACATATGCACGTGTGCAATATGTGGTGTAATGTGTTTTGGGCCATAACACTAAATTACAACAGGATTGTAAAGTTATGAATGCATTATAAATTAGTTATGATGTAGTTAAAACAATATTGGATGATAGTTATTTTCTTTGTGTGTTTTGGACTGAGATAAATCATGGGTCAAAATGTACCCGCGAACACCATGAACGGTAACAGCTTTTGAACACAACACAAGGGTTAACAAAGAGAACATTACTCTTTATAACTCCTTAGGAAAATAAAGTTGAACAAAAAGTTAAGAATGTGCAGTGTAGTCAGTCAAGTAACATAGGAATGAATAAACAGGAGAATACAACACAGCCATACAGTGAACGTTTGGTAGCTTTGCTCTGACCGCACACATAGACTACGCACACAGATATGTGATAGCTGCTGTTATAGCAGATACCTTGAGCTTGGAATAGACTCGGAGCTGAGTGCGAGATGGTTGTGCATCAACAATAATATTTGTGTTAAATAGAGGATGTAAATAGAGCAGTTGCCTAAAAGGCCTTTGAGACGTTCCTCTAGATTTTTCTGTGACTCGTTTAGAGAGGTGTTGATTAAGCTTTAGGGTCCTTTTAGAGGATTTTGTCAATGCCGATTTATATTTGACTCCATCATAGGGAGGTCTTTCTCATATAGCAGATGTACAATATAGTACAACAACATAACACAACCATGAAATGGTCACTCCAGGTTTTATGATTTTATCATTTAAAATGTGTTTTATTTATCAAAAAGCATTTTTAATTATCGGAATGGACCACACTCGACAATTTTAACCTGCTCTGTGTCGGTATTTGTGTTTGTGCCCATTAGCTCAAATGTGTGTGTGTGCGTACTTGTGTGTGGGCATAGTTGTAGGTCAGAGCTACCATTAATTATTGATAGAAAAAGTGTAGCGCTCGTGCTGGTAGAAAGTGTTGCTAAGCAAGAGCTTTAGGTTGCCAGAGACATCTGCGAGAGAGTCAGAGATAAGAAGTGAGAGATAAGGAATAGAAAGACAGAGACTGAAAGAGTGATAGAGACAGACTCATATGACCTATAGCTGAGTGTGTCATTCCCGATGATGAGCAGAGAAAGAAGAAGAGAGAGCAGAGAACATATCAGCACCTGCTATTAAAGACGGAGAGAAGTCCTCGGAGAGCATCAAACGGGGACCATCTTAAAGGATGTTTTCTTTCTTTTCAATACTTTTTTCAGGATGTACAGTAGAAGATAACAGGCTTTTTTAAAGAAGGATAGAGGTTGGAATTGCTCAGACTCATCAGTCCATCTTTTTAAGTGGCTGTGAAGCTGTGGGTGTTAAAAATGATGAGCCGCCAAGCTTATTTTTACAGAGTTCCTCCTCAGGAACTCCATCGCCGGAACCATCTCCAGGCAGAGCCGGGAAAGACCAGAGCTTTGCAGACTGTTGTTGATATGAAGGTAGGACTCACAGTGGGTTTAGGAATTAACGAGAGCAATTGAAGTAATAATGTGCTGTTGTGATAAGAATTGAAGTCTGATGTTGCAGGTGTAGTTTGCTTATCAGTTGCAGTATGTTACATTACATGTCACTTGTTAGACGCTTTTATCCAAAGCGACTTACATACATTCAGTACTGTGGACAATCCCCACAGGAACAATTTGGGTTGAAGTGTCTTGCCCAGGGACACAACGACATGCTGACTGCAGTGGGACTCAAACTTGCTACCCCCTGATTCAAAGTCCAGCACTCTATCCACTGAGCCACAGCCGCCCGGTATAGTCCGGTATCATCTCCATACCAACAAAGCTTTAATGATTGAGGTGCACTGCTGTAATGTGAGCAGTGGTAGAGGAGCTGACTCACCTTGTTAATGCAGGCACAGACATACATGCACAAACAATCTAAAGAACATTGTCTTATTGTTGCCTCGTGTCCGTATGGCGGCCATGCCCATGTAAAGGCCATTATCGGCCCATGCAGAGTTGAACACTTATTCAATTTGTTTCAAATGTCACATATGGAAGCTTTCACTCTCATCTCAGCCTTTTGAAGTCGTTAGAGCTGTGAAAAATGCAGTTGACTCCACATGTGGCTGCATGCACACCCCCACACACACAGACTTTGCCCAGCAAATGCTTGTTCTAAAAGTAGTTCCTTAACAGCAAAACCACAGTTATTTTTCACACATTCTTTGTAATTTGTCTACCTATTAACAGACTGCACATGTGCAGGTCTTCCCACGCTGTTGTTAATGCTCGAGAGAGGCATTAAAATCGGACTGCATTCAAATGAATGGAAAGAGAAATAAACATTGCCAGATTAATAAGATATATGAAGGTGGGGAAAAAGAGAGGAAGACACAGCAACTGTCTAACTTTATCGTTGCAGATAATGAGCTACATATTCCCAGGAGGCCTTGTGGTTTTTTGAAACTATCATCTGTTGACGTTGTTGTGTACGGATTCAAAATTCTATATGTTCCTGATCCGTGTGTATGTTTGTTCCAGATTCTGTGATGTCTGTGCTGTTACCTTTTTTAAGTAGTGGATGTTTCCGTTTTGTAATTACAGAACACCAACCCCCCTTTCTGTTTTGATCCTGACGTAATCTGGCAGGTACAGTAATGAGTGCTCCCCCCATTATCCTTCGTTCAACTGAATATGGGGTACAAATATACAATCTCTGTTTCCTCTATCACTATCAGTATCATAATTGTTTCTGCGTTGGAATCCAGCACCGTACAGTAGTTCATGTTTCAGCGGTTTTAAGTCCCTGCTCTTTGACATGTGTTCCCTTTCTACCCAATGTTATTTTTGATATTACACTCTGTTCTACCTTTGAGTTTGCCTTGTTTCTCTTCCTCAAGGTTATGTTTTTTTTGTGTCTGTGCCCTGTAGCAGAAATAGATAGAAATCAGTTATTAAACCTAGAGCACTGTTTACAATACAGAAACCAACATGCTGAAATGGAAATGAATGAATAGCACAGTCTTTGTATGGCCAGAATGCCCCCACTTTGACTTTTTTTTTTCTTCTGGTTGTTCACTTAAAGTCTATGTCCTTGCATACACTCTGTGTGTGTGTATATGTGTGTGTTTTATATAACTTTAGCATTCTTGCTTGCCTTGTATATGTGTTTCTGGATGTTGAGGATGGTACCTGCAGCACTGTGTGCAGCACCGTGATGTCAGAGGATGTAACAGAGGTCAGATGCTGACATGTTGCCTGTGGTTTGTGCTGATGGCATCATGCAATCTGCTTCCATTTATTCAATTACCTTTCTCTTCTTTTCCAAGGTTTAGCATTTAACGTATACACTGTATGAACCTGCGCTGCTAAAAGACCTCTGGACCTGTCCATGGCAAACCCTTCCACTCTCTCATAGATACAGCAAAGGAAACATCTTGTCTCTACACAATTGTCTGCCTTGATATTTCCCCTGTTTGACATTATATTAATAGGGTATAATCTAGATAGAGGACCCTATGATGTGTTCTGTAAACTATGCTGAATTGCAGGACACAATATGTGTCTGAAATGAATGTACTTCTTGCAGAATGGCCAGCTGTTTGTAGATGAAAAAGAAGCCATGGTTTTAAAATCTCCCTTAAGTCCTCTTTACATTCTGTACAGCGTTTTCTGTCAATTCTTATGTATCAATGTGTTTCAAAATAGACTATCTGTGCCCCTATCCCTATTTTAAAATGATAGTACGTCCATTCCTTCTCTATGTTAACAATTATTTTAGTGACCTGCTCTCTCAAGTTTTTGTGCATGACATTTTAGAGGGATGAATTGAAAGGTGGATCAATCACTTCTGAGACAGGTTTTCCCTTATTAAAGTCCAGAGTTTTAAATCCATGCCTGCCTACTGTTGCTGGTGCAGGACACAAAGATCTCCTCCCTGGAGAGGAACATCCGAAACTTAGAGGATGAGGTCCAGGTGTTAAAGACCAGCGGCCTGCTGCACCCGGATGAGAGACATGATGAGCTCAAGCAGGTGGAGGTCTACAAGAGCCATTCTAAATTCATGAAGACTAAGGTAGAATGTCTCTGCATGCCACCTGAGACCACTTCGCACTGCATGAGTCATGCATGTCTGCCTCGAAACATACAACTGTTTTCTTGCATGTCACCAAGTGTGAGGTGAAATCTTACCAAAGTGCATGTTACATAATGTTGTGTCTTTTGGCTGCTGTATCCAGAGCCTCCTGTGTTGCATGAATAACAAGAACTCCTACGCTTGTAATGTGTTATTTTATATTTAGAGTGAGGTTTCTTGTTGCCTTTCTTATGTCCCATGAAATGCTTGTATGCCTTACCTGTGTGATGACCAAGCATTGAGCAGCTCTCCTATCTGTGACGGCTGAGGGAGGGAACTCAGGCCCTATCAGCTTACAGTGCACAGTGTCTATTTACTGTCCTATTCTCAGCTAGCAGGAAGACTAAGATGTCTCTCGTCCAGGCTGTATACTGGTTTATTCATTGGGACCCAGCAGTTCCCAGACTGACATAATTATTTGGAATAGGTACATACACATATCTACAGGAGCCGCATGTAAAAATGTAGTCTCAAGTTTCGTTAAGGCCTATCAGTAGCGCGCCATGTGAAAATGTTTCTCTTTTGTCATTAATGGTGCTCTTTGTAGGGCCCGTTTGTCATTGCATCAGGGAAGTTCCTGATGCAATCATAAAAGAGATGTTTTTATGAATGGGGCCCTGACAGATGAATGTGAGTTTACAACGACAGAGGAAAGAGCTCTCTATACTGACCCGGGATTATATACATCACAGTGATGGCCCTGGCTCGCTCTCCCATGTCTCATCTTTCTGCGTCACACAGAGAGTCACCATGGAAATGCACAGGCACACAGATTCATTCTATATCCTTGAAGTGTTTAGGGTCGTGGTCTTTCAGCAGGGGTAGCGACTGGTGTTGAGGTGAGACTGTGATAAGAGAAACCAGAGAGGACCGCTTCCCTGTCCTCTGGTTTCCTCTGTGGGCTTTGATTTGTTCGAAACAATAGAAAGTTACTTCTGAGAGCATGAATATTTGTTAAAGTATGATAATTGGGCATTAGAGTAGAGTTGAATTTATTTATCCACATAATCATTTCTAACTGAACTTGACAAGTGCAACATTCTGAAACCTCAGTGGTGTGCTTGAGGAGTGCAAAGTGCGGGGGAGTTGGAGGAGCAAACCGAAAACCTGGTCAGTTTCCCAGCTTGCTGTGGGCTGGAGTTTAGTGGCTTGCTGTCTTCTTGTCTTTGTGTCTCTTTAGGAGAAGGCCTTGTCCCCATGTGTGTCTTCCATCAGAACAGCTTCCACCTTCCACCTCCCCCCTCAACAACCCTGGATCACTGAACAAGCTGAAGTACTCCTCTCATTAGCATCTCTCCTCTCTCAGTATTTATTTTATTCAACCTAATATTATTGCTCCTTCATTTATCTTTAACGCCATATCACATTATCATATGATTTTTAGTCTACTCCCCGGACACACTTTCCTACTTCCATTGTCTCCCTGTCTGAATATCCTCTCACTAGTCTCACCTCACAGAGTCATTTGTTTCTCTATACCTCACCCTTTGGCTCCCTTCTCTTATTAGTCAGTCCCCCTTCTCCCTTCTCTCTCGGGTTCCTTATTTCTGAGTGAGGGTCGATTGGCCAAGCTCTGGTCCAGTCAGAATTCCCCTGTTATGAGGCGAACCCTTCTCACACAATTAGAGAAATCTCTCCTTGAATCAGCTTCGAGCATTTTTGGCACCAGCAGAGAGATGACAATCTTGTGCACATAGTTAGCCTCAGCACAGAAACCTCCCTCTGTTAATGCATTTGATTTCCTTTGTGGTTTTTTGGCCTGTTCTGTGTAGCCTCTCTTAAATCAAATCTGTAATCTGTCAACTACGTGAGCGTAATATTGCTCTCTATAACTCTGTCTGGCTGCATGCATTTTCCCTCTTTGGCTGTTTGCATTGGTGTGTCTATTGAGCAAACAACAGGCATGGGACACCCTCGAGTGAGGACTGTTAATGTAGGGCTTGTGTGACTTTAATGTATCATCTCTCCGAAAAAATGACACGATTGGCATATTATTGACTGTATATATTAAAGTTTTCGAAATGGATGAAAAATTAAGTTTTAGCAAGATGTGTCACAGCCTGACACTGTTTTTTTAAATTTGATTTATCATGGTAAAAAAGTTATTACTGTAGTAGCATTAATAAACAAAACTTGAATAATAAGTTAGCTCTGTGGCTATTATTGATGTCCATATTGCCTAATCCTAAATGATAAAGCATGTTTCAGAGCATGTGTTTTTGAATGAAGTGTGTATGTGGTTTGTGTGTGTGTTGTCGTGATCTGCTAGTTTATCAATTGACTCAATGATGATATAAGGTTTTCATTACAAATGTGTGGTTGTTTCTGTGATTTTCAGATAGAGCAGCTGAAGCAGGAGCTGAACAGGAAGGAGTCAGAGATGCAGGCCCTGCAGACCAAACTGGAAACACTGACCAATCAGAACTCAGACTGCAAACAACACATCGAGGTGCTAAAGGAGTCTCTCAGCGCCAAGGAGCAACGGGCCAATACACTGCAGACAGAGGTCAGTACACATTCACAGAAACTCACAAAGAAATGAAGCTGATTGGCCAACAGCTGCACATTGATGGTGATGATGTTCAATGTGCGCTGTTTCTGGAATACGCCACTTTTACTATCTTGCATGCACAGATACATATAATGTGACAAAGGTCTTCCCAACCTCTGCAAGAGTACACAACCTTGTGTTTTTCTGCATGGTTTCTTTCCCTTTTCTGATTCTCTAATGGACGCTGAGGTGGGTGGAGAAAATGTCTATGTGTGTGGCTCCTTTAGCCCACCAGTGGGCTAGGACATGTGGGAGGGTCAGTCAGAAGGCTTAAGAAAGAAAGCTGGCAGCATTCTTTTTCATCTTTGAAGTTTCCGAAGTCTTTGGCTCTAATGATTGTATCAGTGCTGTTAGGGAAGTAAGCGTGTTGTACTGTACAGTGTGTAGAGAGATGGAGGTGTGTGTGGGGGTGGGGGGTGACGAGCATTCATCATTTTTCTCCATCACTCTCTTAACTTGGAGCCGATACTTTAGATCTTGTTGTGCAGTTCAGAACAGCCTGTTAACTATGTCCACTCAACATTACAGGAAGCAATTTGGGCCAAATTTAGGCTTAATTGTCCATACATGTGCAAGGAATGTTGGCCCTCGCAGTCAGTAGAATACATCATACTTAAAGGAATTGGTTTTCAGTGGGTGGTTTCTGAGTGTACATGTTTTAGTTTGCGTCCTACTGAAATGGCATGTAAAGAAATGTCTGCGTGTTTATGTGTGTCCTCTGCCATATGTGTTATTGTATGGCGAGACAAGGAGACAAGTCACCCCAGTAATTAAAGATGTTTGTCCCTTAATTAAGTCTCCCTTAATTTAGTCAATCAGGTGTTTACTACACTTTTAGCCCACATAGAGAGAGGGAAGAGTGACGGGCTAAGCAGCCAGAGGTTTACACATAGCGCATCATTCATACAGAAATCATGGTGTTACAGCATATAACCAGTGTCGGGGAGGCGACTAAAAAAGTCATTTAGTCGTCTGACTTATAACTTAAAACCTGTAATCATTCATGGCTAGCTAATGTTTTCTTACTACATTTATGTGCCACTGAGGCGAAGTTTGCCATGATGCACTGGCATTAATTCAAGCAGTTTATGTTTATAGGGGCAACACATTGCACGTGAATACAGTGCATTAATTGCAGGTAAGGTTCAGTTAAAGATTCCAAACCTTAAGCTTATGAGATTTTACAAGGCATTGAATCTCTCTTCTGTTAGTCACTAATACAGCTGAAAGGAAAAACCTTTTATTCATATTATAATTATGATTTCTTTATATAATTTATCTTAACGACTTAAAGGTCCCATGTCATGGCCATTTCTACGGATCATAATTCCATTGTTGAGGTATACTAAAATAGATTTATATTGTGCAATTTTCCAAACTCACATTGGTTTCTCATACAGCATCTCTGTATGTGTATTCACTCTCTGTCCTACACGCCTTGTTGGAGCTCCTGCCCCCCCCCTGCCTGTGAGCCCACTGTGCTCTGGTTGGTCAGCTCGCCCACTCTGTTCTGATGAGTCCACCACCGTTACAGCGGAACATCGGTAATAACCGGAAAAGCATGACATGGGACCTTTAAATTTGATCATGCAAACCCCCAATAAAATCAACATAAAGCTAAAATGATCCTATGAATACACTGTTCAGAGCAGGATTCCAATGGGTAACATTATATACCACTATATAAACAACTGTATAGTGGTATAGTGGTTTATGCATATCATATCAGAGGAATATTATACCATTAGAAAATATCATGCTGTTTTTGACCACTATAATTGCTAGTTGCTTGAGCCATTCAATGTGAAGCTAAAATGATTTGCAGGCATTGTGTGTGTATCTGTGTCTGTTTATATGACATACTGTATATGTATGTTTACGCATTAACATGTGGGTTCATGACAAGGGAATTATATATAATTGAATATAATGCTCACTGGGCACTGGCACATCACTGTAGTCTCTCTTCACTTCTCATTTTCTAGGCTACTGCAGCAGGCTGTAATCCGATCTGACAGTCTTGATCACCACAAACACACACACACTCGCACAAAAAGACATGCACACGAAAACACGTACGCTGTCACTGCTGATTGCTGGACTCTCTTCTCTGGTCTAGAGTAGTTTTACCCTGCGATTGAAGTGGCATTTCCCCTAGCTTGGGAAAGGCTAAGGTTTCCTGGACTAAGTGGGCAAACCAGAGGATGAGTAAAGTTATTAAGTGTGCTCGAGGCCAGCCGTTGCCCTGCATTCCTCTACTGTCTGTCAATCATTCGGCTGAAAAAGCACAGCCATATTTACTGGAGCTCCCTTCTCACCTCATTCCTTCCATCCTCTCATTTAATACTTCATCTCCCTTCAGTTTGCTTTAGCTTTCCGACATCGCATTTAATATTCCCCAGATTTCCTCTCTGTTTTACTCATGACTACTGGGGCATCATACCCCTCCCTGTGTGTGTGTGGGCAAGGCGGTCTCATCATGAATGACAGTGATTGGTACAGTAGTCCACTCCCCCAGAGACAGGCTGGTGTCTCCCAGACCTGAGGAGCAGTTTAATCTCACATACACTTGTCTCTAAAAGCAATAGGAAGAAGGGACCAGTCAGGGAACAGAGCAGCACTGTGCGAGCGAGGGAATGAGAAAATGGAATTGTATTTATTTGTCAGTCAAAGTTACGGACAGATTCTAAATTGCCATGATTGAATGGGGCTCCAGATAACTGGAAAATGTGGAACATAATGAGTCTATGCTTCTGCCCACGTCTGTGGAAACTAAACCCTTTAATACAGTATGTGCATGTGTCATTTCTGTCCTGATCACGACAATGCAGGGCTGTAACTTTACTCCAGCCGATCAGGTAACATATCAGAGACCTTCCTGAATATTTAAGCAGCCAAGAACAAAGGAATAGGCCATGAACCCTATTGGTAAAGGGGCATGCATGTGCTTTGACTTTGAAGATATACTTGTCAATATAAAAGTTAAACTAAATGAGGCCAAATCTGACTTTTGAGATGGGGGGCTCTGTTTAGTTGATACAGCAGTGTCCACACTTGGCCATTTCCACACTTAGATGGATAGAATTGGAGGATGAAACCCTCACTTGGCCACTGATGCAATAAAATCCGAAAAAAAACGCGTATCTCTTTGTCTAAAGGACACACCCTATTCATTTTGACACCATAATAATATATATTGCTCACTGATTATTCATGATAATTAATGCACAACATGGTTATTGTCATTATAACAATGAAGAATTATTTTCTTTTGAGTGTGTTTATTATTTTAGAGCACATGTGTCAAACTCAAGGCCCGGGGGCCAAATCAGGCCCTTGGTGGATTTAATTTCAGCCCGCAGGATAATTCTTAATTACTATTAGATCTGGCCCACCGGTATATTGCACGCACACCTTCACTCAATCCTGAGGGTTTCCTCAGCTCAGAGCCTGAGCCCAAACATTGATAAACTTGCACACAAGATGAGATGCCAAGTATCTGGCTTGAACTAGCATCACAGAGCAGCACACTGAGTTTCAATGGATGTTTCCTTCTGCACTTTTTGACTGCTTGCGACAACAGGGCATGTTTGTTTTTTTCTTTTGAGGGAAATCGTTTTTTTGAAGCTGTTGTTGGCCTGTGGAAAAATGTAATCATAAGAAATGACTCCGGAAAAGCTGCAGATAGAGACATAAGAAATGAATGCAACTGATTATTTAATGTTGTTTTTATAGGCAATAATTTAAGCTTTGTTAGTCCCAGGTTTAATATGTGCAATAAGTTCATTTCAATAAGTTCTGCAATAAACATTGAACCAGTCCGGCCCTCGACTAGTACTGATTTTTATTTTGGCCCACTGTGCATTTGAGTTTGACACCCCTGTTTTAGAGCTTCTGTTTTCTCATCTATTTGCCAGTATGCATGATACAACATTAGAGGGAGCCCAAGTCCATCCCCATTAGCTCCTCCACTTTGTGATCACTAAGGAAAATGAGTTTTCAGTAACACATGATTTGTATTTGGTAACTTGAAAGCTGCTGTAAGGATGGTTGTTTAAGCGTCGTTTCAGTTCCTCCTGCTACTATATCTGTTATTGATCCTTTTCCATACTTTCAGTAAAAAAAAATAGGCTTTTTACGTTGTGGCTGACTTGTTAAAAGGAATTGCAGAGTTTAATTTGGAAATACTGACATACATGTCTTAGCAGCTAAAATAATTTATTGGCATTGTGTTATGGGACCTGTTATTTCTATTCATATGAATTATTACTTTACATTTATTGATGAAACAAATCATCTTGTATTTAGCGTCTTTGGCAGATATTAGTAAAGATTTCATTTTCTTAAGGTTGATATGCCTTGATTTACGCCTTCATTACTCGAGGCATTTGTTTAGCAGGTGGCCCCTTACCCACACAGGGGAAAACCAGACCTGACGTGGGTTCAAGGTGCTTAAATCAAAGTCTAATTCAGACACATTAATAACACAGAAACATATCATTTGATACTTTGTTCCTCACAGAGAGCCAACAAAAGTGTTGGAGCATCATAATGTTCACTTTGCAATGTGGCAACATGTCAGTGTTTACAGAGAGCAGTCTGTGGTATTTCAGTTTAACTTTCTCAGATGTGACCTCAAATATCTTGGGGTTCGCTTTCATCACAGGCGTTTGCAATGTGTTTGCCAGAAGACCTCCACTGAGTTTTGATATTGAGGTTGAGGTGTAATGACTTGAAGAAGATATAAATGACTCAAAAATGACTTGCTTACATCGACCATAACGACAGTGATGAATAGCGAATAAATCTGGAGCAGGAAACGGAAAGAATCAAGGATATTTGAAACGAAAAGAGGAAGCAAGAAGTGAGAGAATAGAGTTGCTTGATGGATGTATGAGGCTGCGGGCTTTTGTCAGTGAGTGATGCGATAGTACAGTATGCTGTGGTCCCTGTTG